TAGGGTAATAACACTGCCACTTAGGTGCGGCACTTTCACTTAAAATAACACACCTCACTTTTGGAACAGCACTTGCCTTAGGTAACAGCACCCGCACTTTGTAACGCACCCCCACTTAGGGAACACATCCCACTTAGGGAACGCACTGCCACTTAGGGAACACACCCCACTTAGTAACAGCATGCCCTTAGATAACAAAACCTGCTTTTAGGTAATAACACTGCCATTTGGAACGGCACTTGCACTTAGATAACCACCTCCCTTTGGAAAAAGCAATTGCACTTAGTAACAGCACCTCACTTAGGAAAAATGCCTGCCCCCTTTGGGAACAGCACCCGCCAAGGGGAACAGCACTTGCATTTGATAACAGCATTTGCATTTGGGAACGCACTCCCTCGGTAACAGCACCTCCACTGGGGCAGCACCTGCACTTATGTAACAGATGCACTAAAGGGAACAGCACCTCCATTGGGAAAGCACATCCCCTTAGGCAACAGCACCTGCAGTTTGGAACACATCGCCTTAGGTTTAGTATCTGATTAGGGAACAGCACCTGCACTTAGGGCGACCTCCACTTAGGTAACAGCACCTCCACTTAGGGAGCAGACTTCCCCTTAGGTAACAGCACCTCCCCTTGGTAACAGCACCCCCATTAGGAACAGCACCTGCCTTAGGTAACATCACCTGCCCCCTAGGAATAGACCCGCCTTAGGGAACTGCACCGCACTTGGTAAAACATCTGCACTTACGTAACAGCACCGACTTCGTAACGCAACTGCCTTAGTAACAGCAACATCCCCTTAGATAACACACCCCCACTTACAAACAACTCCCCTTAGGGAACCACCTGCCTTTTTTAACAGCTTGAACTTAGGTAAAAGCACATCTGCTTAGGTAACACCACCTCCATTTGTAACGCACTTCCCCTTTGTAACAGCACCTGCCTTATGTAACAGCATCTCACTTGGTAGCCCCACCCCACTTACGTAACAGCATCTGCACTTTGGGAAAAGCACCCACTTTGGGAACACACCTCCATTAGGGAACACACCTGCATTTTGGTAAGCATGCCACTAGGGCCGGCACCTACACTTTGGTAACAGCACCCGCAATTTGGGAACAGCACCTGCCTAAGGTAAAAGCACTTGCACTTAGGTAAAACACCCGCATTAGGACACACCTGCATTAGGGAACAGCACCCACAAGGTAACAGCACTTCATTAGAAACAGCCCTGCACTTTGGGGAACAGCACCCCATTAGGTAACAGCACCTCCCCTTTGTTAACGCACTCCACTTAGTAAAAGCACCCCACTTTGGAACAGCACCTCCACTTCGGGAAGAGCACCTCCACTTGGTAACAGAACCTCCCCTTTGGTAACAGCAGCATTTGGGAACAGCACTGCCTTATAAAGCACCTGCACTTTTGTAACAGCACCTGCACTTAGTAACAGCACCTCCCCTTAAGGTAACAAATCTGCACTTTTTTAAAAGCACCTCACTTAGGTAACGCATCTGCACTTTAAATAACAGCACACCCTTTTGGTATAACACCTCCCCTTAGCAACACCCTCCACTTACGAAACACACCCGCCTTAGGGAACAGCACTGCACTTAGGTAAAAGACCTACACTTTGGGGAACAGCACCTCCACTTGGGGAAAAGCACTGCACGGTAACACGCATCCAATTAAATTTTAACATAAAATGCACTTAGTAAAGCACCTCACTTAGGTAAAGCACCCCACTTCTAACACACCGCACTTGGTAACAGCCTCCACTTAGGTAACAGCACCCCACTTAGGTTAAAAGCACCTCCACTTACGTAACAGATTCCACTTAGGTAACAGCACCCCCTAGGTAACAGCACCTGCACTTTGGTAACATACCTGCACTTAGGTAACACACATCCACTTGGCAACAGCACCCCTTTTTAGGTAACGCACCTACACTTAGGGAAAACACCTGCACTTAGGTAACAGCACCCGCACTTAGGAGCAGGCCCCTTCACTTAGGGAAAAGCACCTCCATTTGGTAAACAGCACCTCCCTTAGGTAAAGCACCTGCACTTTGGTAACAGCACCTACACAGTAAAACACCGTCACTTAGGTAAAAGCCCTCCCCTTTGTAACAGCACCTCCACTTAGTAAAAGCACCTCCCTTATTAAAAGCACCTCCTTGTAACAGCACCGCAATTAGTTAACAGCACCTCCATTAGAAAAGCACCTACCATAACGCACTCCACTTAGTAACAGCACCTGCATTAGGGAACAGCGCACCAATTTGGTAAACACCTGCACTTTGGTAACAGCACCCGCCTTAGGTAACAGCACCTGCACTTGGGAACACCACCTGCACTTAGGTAACAGCACCTCCACTTAGGTAACAGCACCTGCACTTAGGTAACAGCACCTGCACTTAGGTAACAGCACCTACACTTAGGTAACAGCACCTGCACTTAGGTAACAGCACCTGCACTTATGTAAAAGCACCTCACTTTGGAACACACCCCACTTAGGTAACAGCACCTCCCCTTTGGGAACAGCACCTGCACTTGGTAACGCACCTCACTTAGGTAACAGCCCCACATTTGGGAACCCCTCCTGCACTTACGTAACGCCCTCACTTAGGTAACAGCACCTACACTTAGGTAAAAGCACCTGCACTTTGGTAACAGCCCTGCCTTAGGTAATCAACCTCACTTAGGTAACAGCCTGCACTTAGGTAACAGCACTAACTTGGAACACCCTGCCTTAGGAAAAAAGCACCGCACTTAGGGGAACCGCACCTACACTTAGGGAACAGCCCTGCACTTGGGAACGCACCCGACTTTTTAACGCACCACACTTAGGGAACAGCCCCCCACTTGGTAACAGCACCTCCATTTTGGGAAACAGCTATCCACTTTGGAACGCACCTCACTTGGTAACACACCCGCACTTAGGTAACAGCACCCGCACTTAGGTAAAAGCAAAGCACTTAGGTCACACCCCCACTTAGGAAAAAGAAACCTCCCACAGGGAAAAGCACCTCCATTTGGTAACAGCACCCTCTTAGGTAACAGCACCTCCCTTAGGGGAACAGCACCTCCACTTAGGTAAAAGCACCTCCACTTAGGTAAAAGCACCTCCCCCTTTTTGGGAACAGCACCCATTTGGTAACACCCTCCACTTAGGGAACAGCACCTCACTTTGGTAACGCACCCTACTTTGGTAACAAAACCTCCATTAGGGAACAGCACCTCCACTTGGTAACAGCCCTCCAATTGTTAACAGCACCTCCACTTTGGTAAAAGCACCCACACTTAGGTAACAGCACCTAACTTTGGGAACGCACCTACACTTAGGTACAGCACCCCCACTTTGGAACAGCACCTCACTTTTGGTAACAGCACCTAACTTTGTAACCCGCACCTCCACTTAGGAACGCACCTCCACTTTGGAAAAAGCACATCCACTTAGGTAACAACCACACTTAGTTAACAGCACCTCCACTTTTGGGAAACAGCACCTGCACAGGAACAGCACCTGCACTTAGGGTAACAGCACCTTTCCCTTTTGGGGGAACAGCAATCCACTTAGGGAACGACATCCCCTTATTAACAGCACCCCCACTTAGGTAAAAGCACCTCCCCTTAGGAACGACACCACTTAGGTAACGCATCACTTTGGTAACAGCCCTGCACTTAGGAAAAAGCACCTGCACTTAGGTAACAGCAATCCCTTGGGAACAGCACATCCCCTTTTAACAGCACCTCCACTTAGGAAAAAAGCACCTGCACTTTGGTAAAAGCCCCCCCCCTTAGGTAACAGCACACCACTTTGTTAACAGCACCTCCACTTTGATAAAAGCACCTCCACTTAGGGGAACGCACCTCCACTTAGGTAATACTCCCCCACTTAGGAACAGCACCTCCACTTTGGTAACAGCACCCCCACTTAGGAACAGCACCCCCACTTAGGAACACCCTCCACTTAGTAACAGCACCCCCTTGGGTAAAACCCCCTCCATTTAGGTAACAGCCCCTCCATTTGGGTAACATTTTCCCACTTAGGAACAGCACCTCCACTTAGGTAACAGCTCCTTCACTTAGGTAACAGCTCCTCCACTTAGGTAACAGCTCCTCCACTTAGGTAACAGCACCTCCACTTAGGTAACCACCTCCACTTAGGTAACAGCACCCCACTTAGGTAACAGAAACTCCACTTAGTTAACAGCCCTCCACTTGGTAACAGCTCCTCCACTTAGGTAACAGCACCTCCACTTAGGTAACAGCACCTCCACTTAGGTAACAGCTCCTCCACTTAGGTAACAGCTCCACTTAGGTAACAGCTCCTCCACTTAGGTAACAGCACCTCCACTTAGGTAACCAACTCCACTTAGGTAACAGCACCTCCACTTAGGTAATAGCACCTCCACTTAGGTAACAGCTCCTCCACTTGGGTAACAGCTCCTCCACTTAGGTAACAGCACCTCCACTTAGGTAACAGCACCTCCACTTAGGTAACAGCACCTCCACTTAGGTAACAGCACCTCCACTTAGGTAACAGCACCTCCACTTAGGTAACAGCACCTCCACTTAGGTAACAGCTCCTCCACTTAGGTAACAGCACCTCCACTTAGGTAACCACCTCCACTTAGGTAACAGCACCTCCACTTAGGTAATAGCACCTCCACTTAGGTAACAGCACCTCCACTTAGGTAACAGCACCTCCACTTAGTAACAGCACCTCCACTTAGGTAACAGCACCTCCCTTAGGTAACAGCACCTCCACTTAGGTAACAGCACCTCCACTTAGGTAACAGCACCTCCACTTATGTAACAGCACCTCCACTTAGGTAACAGCACCTCCACTTAGGTAACAGCACCTCCACTTAGGTAACCACCTCCACTTAGGTAACAGCACCTCCACTTAGGTAACAGCTCCTCCACTTGGGTAACAGCTCCTCCAGGCTACTGCCAGTCATGGACAGCCTCACTAACTTATTAATATTAACGTCACCTGAAAAGCTTCTTCAAATTCATCAAAAATGTTTCCTGGGGTTGGCGTGGCTGCCATGTTGTTGTTGTTGGTATATAAGGTCACTCTCCAGCCTACAATCCTCTCACACACTCTCTCCAGCCTACACTCCTCTCACTCTCTCTCCAGCCTACACTCCTCACTCTACAGCCTACACTCCTCACTCTCTCCAGCCTACACTCCTCACTCTACAGCCTACACTCCTCACTCTCTCCAGCCTACACTGCTCTCTTTCTCTCCAGCCTATACTTATCTTACTCCTGACTACAGCCTACACTCCTCACTCTCTCCAGCCTGCACTCCTCACTCTCCAGCCTACACCTCACTTTTCTCTCCAGCCTACCTCCTGACTCTACAGCCTACACTCCCCTCTCTCCAGCCTGCACTCCTCACTCTCCAGCCTTCACTCCTACTTCTCTCCAGCCTACACTCCTCACTTTCTCTCCAGCCTACACTCCTCACTTTCTCTCCAGCCTACACTCCTGACTACAGCCTACACTCCTCACTCTACAGCCTACACTCCTCACTGTCTCCATCCTGCACTCCTCACTCTCCAGCCTACACTCCTCACTTTCTCTCCAGCCTACACTCCTGACTCTACAGCCTACACTCCTCACTGTCTCCATCCTGCACTCCTCTCACTCCAGCCTACACTCCTCACTTTCTCTCCAGCCTACACTCCTGACTCTACAGCCTACACTCCTCACTCTCTTCAGCCTGCACTCCTCACTCTCCAGCCTACACTCCTCACTCTCTCCAGTCTACACTCCCCACTCTCTCTCCAGTCTACATTCCTCACTCACTCTACAGCCTACAGAATCAAATACCAACTTTCCCCCTACCTCTATGGGTTCATGAAAGGTAAAACTGTGCAGAACTGTATTTCCACCTATGTCACTGCACAGTTCCTCAAGCTTCAACATCCGTGCACACGAGGGCCTGGGATCTTCAATCAACTTGGCGTCCACCAGGACGCTGACAAGTCCCTAGGACAGCTCTCCATCGGGCTGCTAACGGAGTCACTGGCTTCTTGGACCTCTTGGGGAGGGTCGATGGTGCTCGTGCAAGCAGTAGATCCCTGGGCAACTTGCTGCTGTTTGCAATGGCTGTCTGCCTAGGAAAGACAGGCACCTTGCAGCATCTGTTGTTGGGGCAATGGATGAATTCCCTGCTATGTTTGTTAACTGCTCATTACTCTGTAATTTGTCTATGATTGTAATCATGTCATAACGTGTTTATCATTCATTACCTTTGAAACTTGTCGTGATTGTGACCAGCTCTACCTAGAGCCCATTACCAGGCCCGGTGGCCTGGTGGCTAAAGCTCCCGCTTCACACACGGAGGGCCCGGGTTCGATTCCCGGCGGGTGAAAACATTCGACACGTTTCCTTACACCTGTTGTCCTGTTCACCTAGCAGCAAATAGGTACCTGGGTGTTAGTCGACTGGTGTGGGTCGCATCCTGGGGGACAAGATTAAGGACCCCAATGGAAATAAGTTCGACAGTCCTCGATGACGCACTGACTTTCTTGGGTTATCCTGGGTGGCAACCCTCCGGGTTAAAAAACCGAAAGAAAAAACTTTTCTTTCTTACCTTTGCAATTTTTCATGGTTGACCAGCTCAACCTGGAGCTCATTACCTTTGTAACTTTGGGCAGATTTGACCAATCTAGTTCATTACCTTTGTACTTGCCCCCTATCAAAACTTTGGAGTCCCGTCCCGGGCCAAAAATTTCCTCTGTAATCTTTGACTACCGCCCCCAGGGGGGGATGGGTGATAAAACCCAAAATTTAAAAGTTTTTTTGGCGTTGATTCATAATTTGTCCCGGTATTTTGATTTAACCACGAAAAAAAAAAAACAAAAAACCCCCTATTTTTAAAATTTGGTTTTGGTTTCAGGGGGCAAAATTTTGCGTTAAGGTAAACCCTTTTTGGTTTCCCTTTTGGAAAAGTTGGGAATTTAGTTGAAATTTTAGGGGCTTGGTTTTTGGGCATTCCTAAAAAATTAAAAAACTTTTAATTGGGGAAATTTTTAAAAGGAATAAACGTCCTTTTTCCCCCAAAAATTGGAAGATGTTTTTTTAAAGCCCTTTGTTTAAAATTTTTTTTTTCCCCCCCGGGAAAGGTGCCGGGGAACGAAAAATGTTCCCTAACCTTTTAAAAAATCTTTTTTGCTTTTCTTTTTATTGGGCCTTACAAACCAACTTTTTTTAAATTTTTAAGGTTTTAAAAAAGTTTTAAGTTTAACTTCGATTTTTTTTGGAATGAAAATGTCATTTTTCCCTTTGGGGGGGACCTTTCTCACCCAAAGTGGAATAAGTTTTATCCCCTTTGGATTTAAACCTGAAAGTTAATGGCAATTCCCCAAAAAGTGGGTTTTTAAAAAAAATTTTTTTCGAAAAACCAGGAATAGGCCCGGGCATGTTTTTAAAAATTTCCCCCCATCAAAAGCTTACGGGTCAACAACCCCGGTTCCCACGCCCCCTTATTTCCCTGAATTAAAATTTAATTTACTCCTTTGGGAATTTCAATTTTTTTGTTTTTAATTCCAAAAACCCTAAAAAAATAAGTTTCCCAAAAAAAAAAAAAATTTTTTTTTAAAAAAAAAAAAAGGTATTTTACAAGCGGATTAAATTAAATTGGAAAGGGGTATTTATCCTTTTTTTCAATCATCAAGGGGAAATTTCCCTTAAAAAAATTTAGCCTCCGGGGGGTTTCCGCAGTAAACCTTAAATAAAATCTGGAAAAAATTTTTGGTTTAAAAAATTTAAGTAATCATTTAAATTTAATTCCAACTTTTCCCCCCCCGGGGTCCAGGGCAATTTTTCTTTTCTTTGTTTGAAATTATTTTTACAGGGCCCTTTTTCCCCTTTTTGGGGGAATGTTTTAATTTTAAATTTTTTAAGTTTTGAGCCCAACCTTCCCTTAAAACATATTAAGAGGGGGGGAAGGTTTTGTAATTTTTTCAGGTGGGGTCCCGAGAAAATTTTTTTACCCTGGGCCTTTAATCGTTAATCCCCTTATAAATTTTTGGGAGGAGGCCTTTTAAACCCCCCCAAAGTGAAGGGAATTAGGGACTTCATTTCAAGTCCATTTTAAAAGGGAAATTTTTTAAAAAAATAAAAAAAATGGGATTTTTTTGGGGAGAGGGGGTTAGGTTTTGGGACTTTTTTTTTTAAGGAAACAAGGGTTGGATTTTTGATTAGGTAAGAGGAGGGGAGGGAAGTTTTTACCAGTTTTTGACCCTTTAAAAATTGAGGGGAGACATAGTTAAAAAAAGGAAAGGACCCGTAAAAACCTTTTTTTTAAAATAAGGAAAAATTTTAAAAATAAGTTTTTTTTTGACAAGTAAAAAAATTTTTATTAAAACCAATTTGTATTAAAAAGGGGAAAATTATTTTCTTTGAAATAAGGGAAAAAAACTTTATCTTTCAAAACCTTTTATTTTCCCAAGAAAAAAAATCCCCCGGGGGTTTAACTGGGTTTCCCGGTTATGGTTTTTTAAAAAAAGGGGGGTTTTAAACTTAAAACCAAAAAGAAATTTTAAAACCCCCAAAAAATCTTTACGGTACCCGTTTGAAAGAGTACGCTATTGACTTCGTCGGTCCCTTTATTCCACTGTATCTGGGGGACATAGCTCTATATGAACTTAGTAGATTATGCTTCGAGTTTACTGAAGCCGCCTTCCTAAAGATCATAAACTACTACAGAGGTGGCTGAAGCGCCTTTGCGTCCTCTTCTCCAGGAGTGGGCATCCCTAGAGAAATTTGTCTGCCTTGGGGACACAATTCCATGACTTAATGCAACATCTATACCAATTCTGGGAGTGAAGCTCTCTTCACCACACCCTATCATCCCAGCTGTAACTGGGAGGATTGAAGCGTCCAGCATTCGGATTCTCAAGTCCATTTTAAGGAAACTTTCGCTCCCTTAAAACTAAGGAGTGGCATCGTTAACCTACCCTGTGCTTTGTTCTGCCATGAGGGAAGTTCCCAGTGACTCTTTGGTTTTTTTTCGGGTTTTACCTTTCTGAACTTCTTATGGTAGAACAGGCCAGAAGGCCCATGTCCATCTTCATGACTTATGGACTAATGAGGAGGTTAATGTGAGGTTCAGTCTTCTTACCCGTTTTCCTTGACCTTAGCTCCCAAAACTTGAGGAGACCTCTGACATAGTTTCGAAAAAACTAAGCTTGTCAATGGGACCAGTTACAAGACCTATTTTGCTTCCAAAAGATCGAGGAGAAGAAGTTTAATGTAGGAGATGAAGTTCTTGTCTTTTGCCTTCAAGTCAAATAAAATTGAGTAGTCACTGTAGCATGGACAGGTCCTTATAAAAGTGTTTTAAAAAAATTTGTGGGAAAGTTGCTACCTCTAGAAGTCAAGGGGCAACCTAAGCTTTATCATATCAACATCCTCCTTAAGAAATCATTCAACTCGAAAGAAAATTCGGTTAACTGCCTTAATAACTTTGACTTAGTTTTCCACACGAACTTGATACGACAAACTGAAGAATGTAAGAGTGGTGCGTAATTGACCCTCTAACTTAGACTATGATGAAGACACTACATGATTGGTGAATCTTTGACCACTCGGTGCTACCAACATTAATATTACTGCATCTTTGGCTGCCATAAGGACCTGATCCTTCAATGTGTAACATTTCAGGACATCTTTACTGATATTCCAGGTGTTACCTCCCGGTAGTCCATAGGATTGGACTTAGTTACTGCCAATCCTATCAAAAAGGAAATATACCCAGGTTCCAGTTCACAACACACACTTCACCTTAGGGATGCATATGACCGAGAGGTAGACAATTATTAAAACTGAGATCAATGAACTTTCAGTCTCTGATATTCGCTCCCCAGTAGTCATGGTTAGAAGGAGGGGATAATTCATATACTGATTGTGTTACTGCTTCAAGAGGCCTTAACTGCCTATAAACTCGGTGGGATGCTGGCGCCTTGCCCTTATAGATAGCGATCTACACAAAATTTTCTGATGCTTCCTTTTTTTCGAGATTGATATTGCGCGGCCATATCCTAAGTCACAGTTAGATCTTCTTTTCTAAGCATTTCCACGCTTTTCCTCACACAAGGACTGAGGCAATATAGCACTAAGCCCTTCGTTTGTAACTGCC